AAGATGTATTGTTAATGAGCTCTGATGCATATTTAATGTAGTCTTTTTTATTACTTATTAATTACTGTTTTCCTCATTTTAAACAGCTTGCACTGTCTAGTGACAAGATTGCTACTTTACAAATGCCACTTTTAAACCTTCATCTGGACATAAAAGAAAATGGTGAAGTCAAACCATATTCTGTTGAAATGAGTAAAGAAGAGCTGCAGAATCTAATAAATTCCTTGGAGGCAGCTAATAAGGTATTTGTTTTAATTTTGTTGTGTGTTTTAAAATGTTTAAGTTTTGATTGATATCCTTAGAACAATAGAAGAAAAATTCATAATTGACTTTTCATATTTCTTTTATTCCTGATATTTTATGTTAAGCACAGAAAATACCTTGTTATGTTCTGCATCTCTAGTTTTAGATATTTAATTATAACTTGTAATTTTAATGACTTAGTTTTGAGCATAATTTATCAAGTAGTTATTTTTGATAGAATAATAGTGCTCTTCTAACAGCTAGATTTTTTTGCCTCGGTCCTCATTAATGATAAAAATAAAATTTTTACTAAAAAAAATAAAACTTTTACCTTGGGGCTATGAAATTAGTTGATCCTGAAGTGTTTTTATGATGATTATGTCATAAAGAAAAGAGTGTCTTATTTAAATGCACAGATAAGGGGTGCCTGAGTGGCTCAGTTGGTTAAACGTCTGCCTTTGGCTTGGGTCATGATCCCAGGGTCCTGGAATCGAGCCCCACTTTGGGCTCCCTGCTCAGTGGGGAGCCTGCTTCTCCCTCTGCTGCTCCCCCTGCTTGTGCTGTCTCTCTCTCTCTCTGTCAAATAAATAAAATCTTTTAAAAAAAGAAGTTTTAGCTGCACAAATAGAATTGTTTTTATAATCCTCTAAGTACAGGAGACAAAATATGGCTTGTAGTTATGACAAAATCAGGTAAAACTGATAAGTGACTAAAAATTTTATATGTAAAAAGGATTGACTAAATAACAGGAACCATTCTCAGTATTTAATGAGAAAAATCATATTTAAACAATAGAAACTGCTGCTGTCAGAAAGAAATAAAAATAACTGTCTCTGTGTACGTGTGTTCCTTTCATGATTGCTTAGCATTGGGTGCCTGGGTGGCTCAGTCTGTTAGGCGTCTGCCTTAGGCTCGGGTCATGATCCCAGAGTCCTGGGATCGAGTCCTGCATTGGGCTCCCTGCTCCGCGGGAAGTCTGCTTCTCCCTCTCCCTCTGCCTGCCGCTCCCCCTGCTTGTGCTCTCTCTGTCTCTGTCAAATAAATAAATAAAATTTAAAAAAGAAAAGATTTCTCAGCATTTGTTCTAGTAATCTGTTTTCCAGTGATCAATGTCAGATATTCTAACCAACTTCTCTTGCCCCTGACCAACCTTCTTGGCTCTACCTTTTTTTTTTTTTTAAGTAGTCTCCATGCCCAGCGTGGAGCCCAGTGCGGGGCCTGAACTCATGACCCTGAGATCAAGACCTGAGCTGAGATCAAGAATCGGATGCTTAACTGACTGAGCCACCCAGGCGCCTCGGCTCTTTTTTTTTTTCTTTTAGATTTTATTTATTTATGTATTTACTTTGAAAGAGAGAGAGCGCGCAGGGCACACGTGAGTGCGTGAGCAGGCAGGAGTGGCAGAGGGAGGGGGAGAAGCAGACTCCCTGCAGAGCAGGGATTTTTTTCCCAATGCAGGACTCCATCCCAGGACTCTGGGATCATGACCTGAGCCAAAGGCAGATGCTCAACCGACTGGGCCACCCAGGTGCCCCCCGGCTCTGCCTTTTTGAAACCCTGGTATATTCAGCTTCCATCCGTATTCTGCAGTTACTCAGTCATTTTAGTGCCATGATGATTGGTCCACATGCCTAGTAGCCACACTGGTAGCCTGGCTTGCTTTTGGATGGGGCTCAATGTCTTAGGGAGTGTGTGGTCGAGCCTCATGTAGATGTTAATTGAGTCTGAACCATGGATCCCGGCAGGCATGCATCATCAATTACTGTGCATTGTACTTGCTTGTTATCAGTTCTCCTGTCTTCAGAGATTTCAAAGCATTTCGTTAAGCAGATACAGGCATCATTCTGGAATAACCTGATTTCCCATCCCCCACCCCTGACTTTGTGTTTTAAGGTGGTCCTGCAGTTGAAATAACCAACACTCTGAGATTCTACTGCTACCCCAGATGCGGCCAAGTGAATACTGTGCGTTCAGAATACCTACGCTATACTGACTGTTTTGCTCTGCTGAGAACGCAGCATGTTGGGCTTACAGAGATGCAAATGTATCCGCTTTCCTGCAGAACAGGAAATGACATGGTCGACAGGAAATGCATAAAAAATGAAAGATGAAAAAGCTCTAATAGCAGTTTATATTTTCATAATGGCTGTTTTGCCTCATTTATTAAATATTTGAGAAATCTTTATAGATATACAGTTTTATTGAAAGCTAAAAATAGGCTCTAAAGTAATGTAAACATACAAAGCACAAATCTACTTGAATGTTGCTTAAAGGAATATATGAATCACAAGGGTGTGTATTCTGGGTATATATGATTAATTTGTAGTATTTTAAAAAATAGCTTTTAAAGAATGTGTAAGCTGCATATGTAACTCAGGAGATTCCATATCTTTCTTCTGTTTCAAAGGAAAGATTATAAAATATAAAATTTCTTAGAGAAAGAAGCTCCTCTTCAGACATGAACAAGAAAAAATACTTAAAATTGTGTCAACAGTTTTGAGTTTATGAATTCTAGAGATCAAAATCTTTTACTCGGGTGGGAAAAAATGAAAATAACACTGTTACTTCTGCATTTCTCTGTCTGATCGGGAGGCTGTGCTTTGTTAAAAAGAATAGATGTCATTGTATCATGTATATATAACTCTTCGGGTATCAGCTGAGATTAAATTTAAGTCCATTTTTGTTATAGACTTTTAATATTGAAGTTAACAGTTTTGGGTGTTAACTTCACTGGAAAACAAACCATTTTTAATTTCAGTTAACTAAAAACAAGCATTCTGAACAAATAAAAAATATCATTTTACTTTTACATATTGCTTTATTTCAAAAGACTTTCTACATAATGCAGTGACCCATAATTAATTGGTACCTGCTGTTTGCAAGCTTAGTTGCTCTTTAGAGCATCAGACTATTATCTGAGGTGTTCAGAACGGTTACTACTATTTCTCATCATAGAGATGAAGATAGGCTTTGAGAGCTTAAAACAAAATACCTGCTCGTGATCTAGGCAGTGCTACTCAAAATGTGTCTGTAGACTAATGCCAGTCTGTGGTCTGTGGACTGTTCGTTACAGGTCAGGGACTAGATGAGGAGCGTATGCCAGAGTGTTCATCAATATATTGCTTTTCTCATTGAGAGATGTTGATTATGGAAAAAATATCAGCTGAACGAAACAGTGTGCTTAGGGAGGTCGTTGACTTACGCCCTGTGCAAGTTCCTTATGTCACGGACCAGTAGCAGTTTGCAGGCGAGCACTTTAAATAATGCAGGTGATTGCTGATGTACGATGGTTTGACTTGAGATTTTTTGACTTTACTTTGGTGCTAAAACAACCTGCATTCAGTAGAAACCATACTTTGAATTTTGATTTTTTTTTAACGCATTTTGAATTTTGATCTTTTCCTGGGCTAGCAATATGCAGTCCAACACTCTTTTCTGATGTTGGGCAGCGGCAGCCCCAAAGCTACCAGGCAGCCATGCGGTCACAAGTAAACAGCTGATATCCTGACAACCATCCTTTACCCAGACAACCATTCTGTTTTTCACTTTCAGTATAGTATTCAGTAAATTATGTGAGGTATTCAACACTTTATTAAAAAATAGGCTTTGTAATTGCACTACTGGGTATTTACTACAAAGATACAAATGTAGGGATCCAAAGGGGTATGTGCACCCCTTGTTTATAGCAGCAATGTCCACAATAGCCAAACTGTGGAAAGAGCCAAGATGTCCATTGACAGATGAATGGATAAAGAAGATGTGGTATATATACACAATGGAATATTATGCGGCTGTCAAAAGGAATGAGATCTTGCCATTTGCAACAACGTGTATGGAACTGGAGGGTGTTACGCTGAGCGAAATAAGTCAATCAGAGAAAGATGTATCATATGACCTCGCTGATATGAGGAATTCTTAATCTCAGGAAACAAACAGGGTTGCTGGAGTGGTTGGGGGTGGGAGGGATGGGGTGGCTGGGTGATAGACATTGGGGAGGGTATGTGCTATGGTGAGCGCTGTGAATTGTGCAAGACTGTTGAATCACAGATCTGTACTTCTGAAACAAATAATGCAACATATGCTAAGAAAAAAGAAGATAGCAGGAGGGGAAGAATGAAGGGGAGTAAGTCGGAGGGGGAGATGAACCATGAGAGACGATGGACTCTGAAAAACAAACTGAGGGTTCTAGAGGGGAGGAGGGTGGGGGGATGGGTTAGCCTGGTGATGGGTATTAAAGAGGGCACATTCTGCGTGGAGCACTGGGTGTTATGCACAAACAATGAATCATGGAACACTACATCAACTAATGATGTATGGTGATTAACATAACAATAAAAAATTTAAAAAATAGGCTGTTAGATGATTTTGCTCAACTGTAGGCTAATGTGAGTGTTCTGAGCATTTAAGGTAGAGTAGGCTAAGCTGTGATGTTCAGTAGGTGAGGTATATTAAATGCATTTTTGACTTACAGTATTTTCAGTTTATGATGGGTTTATTGGGATGTAAACCCATCATGTTGAAGAAGATCTATACTGACTTAAGGTCCTTTGGAATTTCAACCCTCCATTTTCTTCTTTTGATGAGCAGAAAATCTTGCTGTACTTACTCTTCCTCTCACCACCTTATTTATCACTCCATTAGAATATTTAACCACTTTATTGAAATCTCACCGATACACTGAAAACTTCACATATTTAAAGTGTATAATCTGGTAAGTTTTGACATCTATACTCCCAAGAAAGCATCACCTCTGTCAGGATTGTGAACATAGCAATCACTCCTAAAAGTTTCCTCCTATTTCTTTGTAATCCCTGCTCCTGTGCCCTCCCCCCCAACCCCCAATCGGCTTCCTGCCACTCGTAGACTTGTTCACACTTTTCAAGAATTTAATATTAGTGGAATCATATGGTATGTACCTTTTCTTTTGATCCAGCTTCTTTCAGTATTGAGTTCATCTGTGTTATTGCATAGAGCAATAGTTTGTTCCTTTCTCTTTTTGAGAAGTATTCAGTTGTAGAGTTTTACCATAATTTGTGTATCCACCTGTTAAAGGATATTTTTGTCGTTGAAAATTTTTATGGCTATTATGTAACAGAATCCTGTGAACATTCTTGCGTAAACCTTTGTATGAATGTGTGCTTCCTTTGAATACTTTGAGGAGTGAAATGTTTCCAAAGTGATTTTACCATTTTACATTCCATCCAGCAGTCTGAGAGTTCCACCTTCACCTGTTTGCTGACACGTGCTTTGGTCAGTCGTCTTAATTTCAGCTGTTGTAATAAGTGTGTAGTGGTATCTCGTTGTGGTTTTAATTATATTTATTTCCCTAATGACCGATGGTGTTCATTGTCTTCTCATGTGCAATTTGACATCTGTAGATCTTCTTTGGTGAAGTGTCTTTTCAGATCCGTTGCCCATTTCTAAATTGGGTTTTCTTACTGTTGAGTTTTGGGAGTTCTTGATAGCCTGGTTACAAGTCTTTATCACATATATGCCTCGCAAGTTTTCTCCCAATCTGCGGCTTTCTTTTTCTTCTATAAATGGACTTTTTTTTTTTTAGAATAATTTTAGATTTATGTAAAAGTTGAACAGGTAATCCAGAAAGATCCCATATACCCCACATCCAGATTCCCTTATTATTAACATGTAAGTATGGTACATTTGTTAGAATTAACGAATGTCAATACGTTGTTATTAACTAAATTCCATAATTTATTCAGATTTCCCAAGTTTTTACCTAATGTTCTTTTTTTCTTTTCTGAGATTTCATATTATTTAGTTGTCATGTGTCCTTAAGCTTCTCTTGCTGTGATAATTTCCCATACTTTCTTTTTGATGACCTTTACAGTTTTGAGGAGTATGAGTGAGGTATTTTGAAGGATGGCCCTCTATTGGAATTTAATGTTTTTCTCATGCTTAGGCTGGGATTATGGGTTTGAGGAAGGAAAATCACAGGGGTAAAGTGCCATTTACATCACATCATATTGAGGGTACATATTGTTAGCAGGATTTATGATTTGACATTGACTTTGCTCACCTGGCTGAAATAGTTTGTCCAGTTTCTCACTGTAAAGTTACTCTTTATTTCTCCTTTATCCGTATTGTACTCTTTGGAAGGGAAGTCACTGTGTGTGGCCCATATTTGAGGAATTGGAAGTTGTACTCCCCCTTCCTGAGGTCAGACAGAGTACCTATATAAGCACAGATTTGTCTCTTCTATTTATTAATTTATTTAATCATTTATTTATATAATATGGACTCATGGATATTTTATCCTTTTGGTTATAAGCCAGTACTGCTTATTCAGGTTGCTCCAGGTTTGGCCACTAGGAGCATTTTCAGTTGGCTCCATTTTCCCATTGACATAGCTCTATCACTGAAGGTAGGTATTTATCTGTTTTTATATTTCCTTAACTTTCTGGCAATACAAGATGCTCTGGGCTCATTTCATCTATTTCCTGCCTGGTTCTAGAATCAGCCATTTCTCCAAGGAGCCCTCGCTTATTTTATTGACAGAACAAAGAAATACATGTATGTAAACTAAGGTGTGTGTATATATGTATCTATAAATAATTCTTTATGTAATTAGCTGTATCTATATTAAGCTACACATGAGTTCATCTTGATGTCTTCAACTCTAATCCATTACCATGTGGATCATCCTCACCTGCTACCCTTATCTGTAAATTTACAGTCCAGCAGTAAGAAACCTGACTCCCACCATCTACTATCCATATATGTGTGAATTGTTTATGGCAGTATCTGAATTGTTATGGCATGTATCTGAATTGTTAATCCATGGGAAACAATTTTATCTTCTTGGAAGGGATTATGTACAGTTCTCTTGCCTTTAGTCTTAACAGACTTCACTCATTTCTAGGTTTACTTAGGTCAGTACTTCCCCTCCCCCTCCTTCAGTGAGGTGGTTTTATACATTTGTAATTAAGTTAGATTTTTTAACGTAGTCTGTATTCCTTGCTGGGATTGCCTGACTTCCTAAATGATTTTTAAATTTGCATATATTAATTTTCACTCTGTGTTGAATAGTTCTGTGTTTTGGCAAATGCCTAATGTCATGAATCCACTTTCCAGAATAGTTCAACACCCTAAAAATCCCTCATGCTTAATCTATTCATCCTTCTACCTTCCTCTGAACCCCACAATCAGTGAGTTTTCTTAATGTCTTTATAGTTTGCTTTTTCCAGAATGTCATATAATTAGGATCATACAGTATGCAGTCTTTTCACACTGGGTTCTTTCACTTAGCAATATACATTTAGGGTTCTTCCGTGTCTTTTCGTGGCTTGATAACTCATTTCTTTTTTATTCTCACATAATATTTCATTGAATAGATGTGCCAGTTTGTTTATCCATTCACCTATTGAAGGAAATTGGTAATGCCCAGGAGTGTGATTGCTGGATCATACTGTATGACAAGTTTAACTTTGTACGAAACTACCAAATTTTTTCAAAGTGGCTGTATCACTTTGTATTTCTTTCTTTCTTTCTTCTCACTTGTGGCAAAAAACACATAATATGAAATCTCTGAACAAATTTTTAAGTGTGTAGTACAGTAATGTTAACTTGCTGCATATTGTTGTACAATAGATCTCTAGAGCTTTTTCATCTTTTATCAGTGAAGCTCTACTCACTGAACAGTAACTCCCCATTTCCCCGTCCTCCAGTCCCTGGCAGTCACCATTATGCTTTCTTCTTCAAGAGATTGAATACTTCAGATACTTCATATAAGTGGAATCACGCAATATTTGTCCTTCAGCAACTAGAGTGTTTTACTTACCATAATGTCCTCAAGGTTCATCCATGTTTTTTTGTTTGTTTTGTTTTTTAAAGATTTTTTACTTATTTATTTGGCAGAGACACAGCGAAATAGGGAACACAAGCAGGGGGCAGAGGGAGAGGGAGAAGCAAACTCCCCGCCAAGCAGGGAGCCCGATGCGGGGCTTGATCCCAGGACTCTGAGATCATGACCTGAGCCGAAGGCAGACGCTCAACGACTGAGCCACCCAGGCACCCCAAGGTTCATCCATGTTTTAACATATGACAGAACTTCCTTTTCGGGGTGCTGAATAGTGTTCCATTTTATGTATATACCACATTTTCTTTGTCCATTAATCCACAAATGGACTTTCAGGTTGTTTCCGCCTCTTAGCCATTGTGACTAATGCTGCAGTGGACATAGGAGTGCAGACATCTCTTCAAGGTGCTGTTTTCAGTTCTTTTGGATAAATACCCGGAAGTGGGATTGCTGGATCATAAGTAGTTCTATTTTAATTTTTTGAGGAACCTCTATACAGTTTTCCGTAGTGACTACACCATTTTAGATTGCCACCAACAGTGCACAGGGGTTCCATTTTCTCCATATCCTTGGCTGATACTACTTATATCACAGATACACAAATACCTATCTTGTGTTAGCTTCATATTATCTATAATTCTTATGGCAAATCCTAAACATGTAACACATATATGTTATTTTTCTAAAAAAATTGGATGGCCATTTATTTCGTCCATTGCATAACATAGTCTTCTGGAAATAGTAGCCATTATAGGATGTCTCTAAAATCCTTGGTAGCTCTGCAAGGCTAAGGCTCTGCTGATGAAGTGCTGACTCCCAGGTACTTTGCTGGATGGATGTTAAAGTTATCTTTAGGCTGGAATTTAGACTCTTCATTGAAAAGCTATTCTGCTAACCATCATTAATGGATATATGAACTTCACACCTTTAGTCTGTTCATTATTTTATTGTCAACGTATTGTTTCTGAGGGGAGACAATGAGTTTGGAGGTTGGAGGTCTTCCAATTAGGAAAGACTGACAAATAGCCCAACTCTAATATTCATATTTACAGTGGAGATTTTAAAAGAAATTTGACATAATGCACCTCACAAATGGATGCTGTTAAAGTCCATTTTAGGCATCATTTTGAATACAAGGAAACAATTTCTTCTTTTTTCTGATACACAAACACTCCATATGTCCAAATGTTTGTAAGGCATGTTATCCTAAAGAATTTTTTTTCCCCCCAAAAATGAAAGTGGTACAGAAATAAGCTCCCAGGAAAGTGCTGGTACTTTTTCCCCAGTTGTTGGATAATACTGCAAAGAATTTCTTCCAAATAAAGGGATTTTGCTTTGTATTAAATTTTACAATAAAGGCTCTGAAATGATAGATTCAGAATTCTAAACATTTTTAAGGATTATAAAAAGATATGCCTGAAATCTTGCATGTTTTTGAACGTAGTACAAACTAAGCTTTTTATATGTAGGCATTTTCAATTAAAAAAAAGTTTTATTTGAGTTTTAGGAATAAGCAAGCTAACATAAATTGTACATATTTACAGCAATAAACTACATTTCAGAAGCTGCACAAAGGCTTTTGTGAGTATAGCTGATGGTTTTTGACACCAGCCTTCAAATGTGTTTTCTTTCTGTCATTTGCTGAAACATTTAAAATCCTGTAGTACCAGAGCAAAGAAAACAGCAAGTTATTTTATAGCAAAGCCACACTATTAACAAAAATACTGAGTGAACCACAGTCCTGTGACTGCTGGAGCATCTGTGAGTCCTGAAATTGAGAGCACAAGCATTTCTTGTGTCCATACCTGATTGCATGTAAGTTGACTTTTTATTTTACAAGAATACATGATTACTCAATGAATAAGAATAGAAAAAAGGCCACGAAAGCTAAAAGGGTCAGGAATCAGAGGACACTGCACAGTTTCTTATTCGCTGATTCATTGCTTAGAGGGAGGTCTAGTTCTTCTTTGATGTGTAGAAATCACAGTCTACAGGCTTCATGGATTTTGTTCACAGATTGTTTTTGAGATAGCGAAGTCATAATGTCACATACTTGAAGCACGTAAAAAGGGAATTAATGAAACGGTTAGAATATTTTAATCAAATCCTTAACAGAAAGATTACAGTTGAACACCCTGTATGAAAGTTTGATTTCACATGTTAAAAGCAACTACAGAAAAATCTCAAGTTTCATTAGAACAGCAGTTTCAGTCAGAAAATGCAGCATATATTGATACAAAATAGGAACTGGAATTATAAAAGTAAAGAGTCCACCTTTCTTTTCTTGGCATTTTTAAAACCTTTCCCATTTCATTAAAATTCCTATTGGTTTCCAGAAATACTTATTCTTGCCATTTAGCTCCTCTAGTGGTCTGGTCGGTATACAAAAGTATGACCTGCTTATGTAAGAAAGCAAATGCTTATGTCAAAAGAACATTAATGTATTGTAATTTATGTTTCTTTGCAATTAAAGAAGTTCTGCCTGCTGAAAAATAAAGAGGGACAAAGGGATTCTTTTATTTACAAGAACTGTGTAATACCAATCAGGATATGAATTAGCTAACTCCTGTTTGGTAGGAGGGTAAATTGACAATTCAGCAAATTGATGAGTGGGGATTTAAAAACAAGGGATAAGACATTTAACATATTCAGACATATTGGTGAGTTAAGCGTAACAGATTTTGAGAGGCAACATAAGGTATGAATTTTTGTGTATAAGTAGCACCTGCTTTTGAAAGCCCCAGCTATTTAGGACAGGGTGCTGTGAATTAAAATAGCAGGAAACTGGTTTGGAAAGTTTTGCTAATTTTTGGATTCAATCAAGTTTTAGGTGAGGTGGTGCCAAAGAGGTGTTCCATTGCTGGCAGGATGGAAATTTCCCCCACTCTTTAGCCTGATGAGTCCTGCTTTCCCAAACCTTCTGAATCACTGTAAGAAGATCTTTGCCTCAGGTTGAGTCTTATTGGGTAAAGTCATGGGAATGAAATAATTATTCAGAGATGATGGACAGCCAAGCGAATTTTTCAAGCAAGCCACCCTAACCCAGATGTGTTTCTCTCAAAAACAGTTTTATTTGTATTTACACAATGTTAAAGTTTCCAATTTACATTTCCATTAACCTTTTAAATGACACGACATTATTTCACATTAGCCATTAGGTTCCCATCACAATGGCACAAAATGCTGCCTGGTGGTCAAAAATAAAAAGCTTATTTAAAGATGTCAAAAAATTTTTAGTCCTTGTAAACATATCATTTAGAATTTCTGAAAACCTCATGCAATCTTGACTTTGGAATAATGCCACATGGTAGTTTTTACCAAGAGGGTTATTGGCCCTCTCTAAAATAAGGAGTTGAACAACACAGTCAAATAAGTATATGCATATCTAATCACGAGCATTCCCTACTTAGTAGTGGATGTTCTGAATATGAAATATCACTGTATTTATAATTCTGCTTTCCATGACACTGCAGTGAGTTAGAATAATCAAGGGGCTTCCCTAAAAATGTCTCGGGAGCATTGTCGCAAAATATAAAATATTTCAAGCTTTATCCAGTGAGTATTTTAAAAAGATGTAGGAAATGGATTAACGTGAGTTGATTAGCTTAAAAAAAGAAAAAGATACACTGCAATTCAATGTATTTGGGGGAATATCAAGTAGAAAAATACGTTATCTAGTAAAACTGGGGTGGCTGGTTGCCACTCTGAGGTAAGGCTTGCAAATGATG